TCTACACACCATGTCGGGCGGGATGCAGCAGCCTCTCATTTCGCCTAGAAAAACACATCCAGGCAAATACCAGAGGCCTGTGCACCCCGCCCAACATGAGACTCACTTTGCCTGGAGGCTGGAACTTAATCTTTCTTTTTTACTCTTTCCTTCCTTTTTTCATCCCCCCCCCACCCCCCCACCCCCCCAAATTTGGACCATTTCTCTATTTACGTCCTTGCGCAGGGGCCATTTGCTAATTAATCTTCTCTGTATCGTTCCAATTTTAACGGATGCCTGGACTCTTTTTGCCTGAATGTTTTCCAGGCAAGACCACAGGCCGGTGCATCCCCCCAACATGTCACTCATTTTGACTGGACTAATTCTGCCTGGATGTTTTCCTGGCAAAACCAGAGGCAGGTGCGCGGGGTGCACACAACGGAGTCGGAGAAAAATGGCTGGGAAACGTACTGGTGGTTTAAATGGGGTACAGATGGAATTTTCCCTCTTTTTTTTTTGGGTGGGGAGAGGCCATTTCCACACAAGGAGGCCAAGGAGGAGGAGGAGGAGGAGGGAGAGGAGGAGGAGGGGGACGGCGGGGGGGGGGGAGGGAAGAGGAAGACTGTGCGTGCCAAGTGGGCACAAAAATGGCTGGGAAACGTACTGGTGGTTTAAATGGAATTTTCCCTCTTTTTGGGGTGGGGAGAAACCATTTCCACACAAGGAGGCCAAGGAGGAGGAGGAGGGGGGGAAGGGGAGGGAACAGGAAGACTGCATGTGCGAAGTGGGCACATAAGGCTCTTTTCTGGGATTGCCAACAAGCACGGGCCCCGCCTCACCACTCACAAAATGTGCAAAATGAAAACGTACCTCCTGCTAGAGTGTGCAAAATTGAACCCGCCATATTTTTGTCGTTTTGACATTTGCTGAGTGGAGCTGCCAGCCCCACCCTCCCTCAGACGTCACTATGACTGGGCTCTCTCTCTCTCTCTCTCTCTCTCTCTCTCTCTCTCTCTCTCTCTCACACACACACACACACACACACACACACACACACACACACACAAACACAGAGAGCAACCCGAATGGTTCTGGATACTACCCAAAGTTTGCTAGCCCGGACAGGGGTAGCTCACAAAATGAAATTTGGAGGCCCAAGCGCTGAAGGCCCAGCGAACGGGGCCAATTCCTCGCCAGCGCAACAGGGCCCAGCCACAAATTTGCGGGCATCAGAAGGACCTGCAAGGAGTTCTCAAAAGAAGGGCCAGCATGTACATTATTGCAAAATATAGGGGCAAATCGCAAACTTGCCCTATACACTCTCAGGTATAAGATGGGAAAAGGGAGGGGGCAGGAAAGACAAAAAGAACGGGATGGGAAAATTCTGCAGGCTTTCAGGCAGGCTGGCGGGTTGGTCGGTCGCAGACGAGCGACCGACTGGGTGACAGAAAGGGATCTACCACAAAACGTTTTTTCTTCCCTTCACCACAAAACCGGCCGACCTCTCTTTCACTTCACAAACGAAATAGTGAACACTGAACACTCTCAATGACGACTCGCACATCAACTAATCTCCAGACCCAATGATCCCTGCCTGAAAGTTTCTGCAGCTCATGACACGTCATCAACTTGACTGCTACTCAGTTCGGTCCTGCTTGTCGCGTGTGTCACGTCCGTCGCAAAGCTGGTCTGCCAGCTGTCGTCCCACCGTGTCGCTCGTGACTAGCAAGTTTCCCCGTTGTCAATGAAGACAGCGACCGGTGTTTCTCCCTCCCTCTCTCTCTCTCTCTCTC